TAAAACATACGTAAGTGGCAAGGGAAGTCGTGGACGTTTTAGGATTTTTTAGCGCACGTTACAATGGGAAGCCATTCYAGAATTACCGGTTACGTGATGCATGTGAGCCCACGATATTTAACCCACTKGAATTATTGATGAATAATGGACCTTCGTAATATCTTCCTCTTCTTCAGTCGTTTCATCTAAGGCTCGTAATTTACCCATTACGCATGTTCTTACTTTTGATATCCGAGCCCATCCCACACGGCTTACCGCCTCATCTATCTAATATCTAACTCAGTGAGTAAGCCAGGTCAAGTTCGACTCTACAAACTCTATAAAATAATTCAAAAGAAAAACACAAAACATCGAGAGAAAAGAAAAAAGGAGCGTATAAGATTCCTAAAGACTATCTTACTGATGCGTAGACTAATGACGCTATTTGTAATCAAAGAAAATTAACTCTCGATAGGTAGCATTGAATAGGTTTTCAAGTACTCAGCATCAACATGGTTTTCCATCATCGTAGCTTTGCACTGATTCATGATAATTTTGAGGTCGTTACAATAACAATTTTAGTGGTAATGAGAACTTATTTTAATATCAATTGAAATGGAATGGTCTGTAATAATGGTGGTGGCAATGGTGATGGTGGTGGCAATGGTGATGGCAATGGTGATGGTGATGGTGATGGTGATGGTGATGGTGATGGTGATGGTGATGGTGATGGTGATGGTGATGGCAATGGTTTGTGGTGGTGGCAATGGTGGTGGTAATGGTAGTAGTACAATTAAGAAAACGAAACTTTGAAGATTTTAACATAGTTCAGTCTGTTCCAGTCAGTTTGCTTAAACTCTAAAACCCATGTGCACATTAATTTATCTGCAGTTTTCTAGAACGGAATGCAAAGGACTTATTTAAATATGGTTGATTCACGATATGAATTGCCGTTTCGGTCGTAAAGGGGTCAGATGCATTAATCTAATTTTTTTGGACCTYATTTTCTTACGTACAGTGAAATAAGCTGAGGCCGTGGTAGACAGTTCAGTTCCCCTATTTGCAAATTAATTCCTAAGTGCTCTAGCATTTCGACTTTCATATTTCAAAATAAAACCACGAGGTCTAGGTAGATACGCCTCTACATTAGAACGTCGGTCGCCGGCCATGAGAGGAAGGGAACTCTGACACTGAGATGACCGTTSCATGTGTCAGCAAAAGCTATTAACCAAGGCAATAACTAGGAAAATAAATGACACACATCATACGAATAAACCTATTTTGTCAGGGATAGACAAAGCTGAATAAATATGGTACTAATTTGAAGTTTTTTGCTTCCTTTTGGCTAGAAACGCCATATTTYCCCCTGAAAATTGATTGTCTTGGGCACCGCTTCAATGAGCATGCGCACGCCCAATGTCGACAAAATGATTTTAGCTTGACATAATTGCACAAATAATTTAAGCAGTTACTCCTTAATTCAGTGTTAACTCAAAAGAGCTAGAACGCATAAAATAGAGAGATGGGGGAGGGGGGCTAGAGARAGAGAGATAGAGATCAGATCACTTAATAAAAAATCTCATGCTTTTGTACCTGCAACCTGGCACGTTGACGTGGAAAGCTTTTGTTAATTCCTGGAATGTGTTATAACGTTATTGAAACCTTTTGTTGTGTTACGGGTGCATTTACTTAGTGCGCCAGACCAATGRAAAGCAGCCCTAGCACGAAAGCACCTTTTTTTCTTTATGGTTTAATCAACCCTGTTTCGGTCACGAGAAGAATTTACAGCTAGAAAAAGTGGTTTTTTAGTGCCTGTAAAATATTAACAATTAAATATTTAAAATTCTTTAATAGAGGTAATAAAAGCGACCATTTCTAAAATGTGTAAACGCCCCTCGTAATCTTAATAATTACAAGAAATTATTGAACAGTGATGGTAAAATTATCGTTAGTAATAACTTACTATTCAAACCGAAACACTGATTTCGTCGGGTTTTTTAAAAATTTTCTTAGCCTTTAAGCCTATATAAGTACGACTCTAGAATCTTTTACAATCATTAGACATTTTTTTTTTTAATTTGAGGATTTCTTTTTCGATAGTCTGTTAGGAAAACAATATTGGGGAGGAAAAGAGTTTGGGTGTTATTTGCATCCTGCGGCGTGAGGCCGATCTTCATGACGTCAACTGAAAGAGTGATCTCATTCAAAAACTTCAGTACGTGCTTCGGAGTAGCTTGTTTATATTTTGATAGAGGTCGGCTGACGAATACAAACCATGTTTAGCAAAACYTTCCTACCTGTTTCTTTGAAGTAGAAAACACGCAGGGAAAATACGAAAGCTTGCCACCATGACAAATAGKTTTTTGATCTAGGCGATTCCTTTTCGGTTTCCTTGGAAGGTAATTTATTAAACGCAATTAGGTCTGTCTTTAAAACCGTTCAAAAAAGATTCGTTTCTCAAAAACGTGTGAAAATAACAGTTCATTGTTAATTGTTTACAGTAATATTTTAACTAAATATAAATAGATTTAATCGTTAMGACTGTTCAAACATTATAGTTAGCTATGTTAACCTACTAATGATTTTATTAATAAGAWACTTAAACAAACCTTGCTTTTTTACTTCGGTAATTTTTGATAATAGGAAATATATTTGATATATAAGATGAATAAATAAATATCAGACTTGCCATTGAAGTTTACGTGTCCCAAAAACAATATGAAACTGAATACTTTGCGGTTTAGTATTTCGTAAATATCTGATATAAAACTGAAATTATCGTCTTGCAAAAACACGYAAATATCACCTATGAATAAATGCTTTTCTTTTGAAATCTGAGCACTTTATTAGATTCGTTTAYATGAGGATGCATTTGGGATTTTCTATGATTTAAATGAAAGAAAACCCCACTCCTCTGCAAGCACTTCACTTAAGTCCAGCCCACGCATATAAAGCGAGTAGACAAAGAAAAATAGAAGGAGAAATCTAATAAACTAATTCTTCATCGCTTAAGGCAAAATCTGGCTATTTTGGTATGGAATAATGAATACGAATTTAKTTTAATAATGATCAATAGAATAGAAAGAAAACAGGAATTTAAAGTGAAATATAGCCGTTGTTGCGAAGCTAGAGGACGTATATTTTTGTACGAATTTATATTCTTTTAAAAATAAAAGTACAAATTTGGTAACTCAGTTTAAATTCGTATGCGCAGTATTCAACATTCATAAAGCAGCTCTTAATTACAATTATTCAATAAATAAATATAACAAAAATAAGAATATTTTTTCAATATTGAATCTGTTGTCCCAACAATAGTCGCCTCGTGGGATTGTTAACGGCACGGATCACGTGACAATTCGATCTTGCATGACGTCATTGAAGGGCTGTCATTGGTCGATTCATTTGGTTAAAGAAAGGTTCGACAAGCCGTGYATATTTTGTAGCATTTGCCGTCAGGCGATGGACTTTCTTGTCGAAAATTGTGTGAAAAATCAAGCCGAAATGCCCTGAACTGACATTGTAGACACTGCTAGGTCATGTTGAAAGGTGCTTCTATCCCAGAGAGGCTTTTATGGGGACGAATGTGAGCAAACTAGAAGGCAGATTYGCGAGGAACATTAGTATATAGGTGAGCGGGACACATTCATGCATTGAGTTCGACAAGTTTCCGTCTTGAAAAACTCTAAAAATTCCAGTTTTGTTAAAGTTTGGAATAAGTAATGCTTGGGTGAAAGCTCATATGTTTATAATTCAACCACAAACTTGTGAATGGGCCTGTTTTGKGGTGTTAAAGTCGTTAAGAACTGCTTGTGTTTTTGTTCTGTCGACCGTCGGCTATTGCTTTTGACTCAAGTTCCGCTTGCTTTGACACTCAAACTTTCGAATACTACATTCAAAACACCACTGCAAAACTCCTAAAAATTATCCTCCACAGCTATTCTACTCCCTATTAACTAATACGAAGATGATTGCAGGTGATTTATTTGTTGACGCAGTATTTTCCAAATGCAAAGACTTGTCTATATAGTTAATGTTATTTTGCTTTCTTCTTTGCCATGGTTGTACGTAAAGAACAGAAGAATCTCGAATACCCGCTCTTTCTATTCCATTTTTAGCTCTATTACGTCCTCGTCTGGGTTATTCTAGAGCCGAGCTTTGTTTATTAACAGTGTGTGGTTTTCTAATAGAGCTTTTCTTCCTAATTTTTCGTCAATACATCGAGAATAAAGCACTGGTTCATTTGCTTCGAGTCGACTTTATATTACTCCGAACTCAAAACGTCATCGAATTTTACAGCGAAAATAGAACTAAACTCGTAAACACCTCGATATATTATTGATAAAACAAGTTCCACAAGCTTATTCGAAACACGTGGGGATAAGACGAGCAAATTATTCCTTCAAACATCTGATTGGAAACTCTAGGGGATTTGAGTGTATACCCAATGTTTTGTTCCTACACGTGCTCTTAATAACACTATTTATTTTACATTTTTTTCTTTTTTTTCCCTCCTTCAGGTAGAATTTCTCCTTAAGAGATATGAAGCCTGCACACACACAATTTAGGGACCAAGTGAGTGCTTTGGTGAACTGGTTTTCCAATTGGAATGAGTGTGAACAAACTATAGCTCTTTACACTCTGTTAAAAAGAATTTCAAATACACAAGCAAGGTTTTTGTCTTTAATCTTGGAGCACACATTTCGGGACGACCCTGTCGAGATCCAACTCCTCCAAAAAGAAGCTAATGACAAAGGTAAATAACCTATTGTGTTTTTGTTGTTGTAAATTATTTGTTTTGTTTATAGGTGTTGGTGTGGTGTGTGGGTGAGTGAGTGGTCAAATTTCTGGACACACACCCACTGTCGTCCACACACCCCCATATCATTTGCATAAAAACAATAGATGTCCACCAGACATTACTCACCTGTACCTGYCCCCAGACTGATTTTCAACCAACAAACACATGTTGCTTTGTTCTTCTTCGTAAAGCTGTTGTTGTTGCTGCTGTAATTTACTGGATAAGTCTTGAAAAATTTATTATAGCAAAAAAAATCCCAAACTTATCAGGGGGTCCAATGCAATTCCTGTTTCAACCTGCATCTCTGCAATATTGTATGCACTAATAATGGTTAGAGATATCAAGTTATTCCATGAATCAATCATAATTCAATAAATTAATTTAACACTAGTCTAGTTATTAAGCCAAAATGTATTTTCATTTGGATGTGTTTGTGACAAGTTCTAAGCTTGCCTATAAGAGTACTATTTTATATGAGAACCACCGTAAGCTTACTGAGAGGCTTACACAATAGGTTTATTCTCTAAGATCAGAGGTGTTATCAATGAAAAGCTAGAAATGATTATACAATTTGGTATATAAAAACAAAAATGGATAAGATACCTGAATAAACTGAAGACCATGGATTAAAAGGGCTATTTGTTACTGACATTTCATATGTTAAATTTTCGTTAAACGAGTAACATAATATTAAGTAAACCATACCATAATGTCACCTACACAAGCACTAATGTGTAGTATATGATTAATGTGAAAAATATGAACCACCAGCATTACTAAGTATTTGCTAAAACTAATATAATATTGTCATAGCTCAGAAATTGTGCATTTTCTCTTTATCTCAATACCATTCTTATTCCCATTTGTTCAGTACATATTATTAGTCTTGTCGACACAAGATTTCATAAATTGTTAACTTTAGCAAGACATTAATCCCACAGGCTTTTTCAATTGTTTACACAAGGCCAAAGTGGTTGACTTTTTTTTTCACTCCTATGCTTAGAGCTGTCACCTTTGATTCCTTCTGGCAGATACATCCCACACTTTGTGATATCAGCAGTTAAATTTCCCTTAAATTGCAACTCCAAACAATAAAAAATACAATTTTTTGGAGTAATTTTTGATTAAATCACTGAGGTAATTAGAATTCTTTATGATACCTAACATTATAATATTATATTGCTATATATACCCTTTGGTGTTATATTCAAGAGTATTATTAACTGACATATTTTGTTAGGATTATATGCACATTTAATGTAATTGTTTAACATTTTAGTAATTGCTGTTAACTGTGATGAACCAAAATATGTACATTTTCTATAGACTGGGCTGAGTTTTCATCTTGCCTTGATTTAAAGTAATACATTATTATTGATAAAATGTGAAAATTTGACATGAAATTTCGTGTAAAAACATAAGTTGGAGGCATTTTTTGCCTCCAGCAAAGGTTTTTTTTTACAAAATTGACAATTTTGAACTTATTTCCTTCAAACTTCACAGTTTTAGCTATTTTAACATGCCCTTCCCAGCCATGGTAATAATCTTTGTTTTAAATACCTGATAAAAGCTTATTTCCCTGTAACTAAAAATACATAACCAAAACAAGATAGAGGAAACATGCTTAATCGTCTGAATCTAAGATAATATTTAAAGATTTAAGTAAATCAAAATGCAGGGAAATCCCTTATCTACAATGGAAATCATTCATGCATATTGATTTGATTAATGAGTTTACTTAATCCCTGGTTTGAATTTCACWGGAAATATATTCCGGCAAAATGAAAGTTACTTTCTTACATTATGGGCTTTTAATTTCCTGTAAACCAAAAAGTGCTCAGAATCTGTCATATTTTTATTAATTACATTATAAATAGACCTTCTCTGCTCAGGCGCAAGGTTTTCCCATTTCAGACCACATGTCATTCCCCTTCGTTTAACGTTTGCATTCAGTTGCACATGAGAAGACACATGAATATGGATACAAGTCAAACAAAGAATCTTATTCTCAAGGGAATGACACGTGGTCTGTAATGGGTAATTATTACACCTGAGCCGAGGAGCTCAATTGTCTCAGTAATCTGATGCTCTGTTGTCTAATACAACAGTGAATGAAAACAAGCATGGTTTGAATGTCCCATGTTTTGACTGCGATGTTGCCATGTCCGAGCATTTTGAAGTAGTAATCTTGTGTGCTGTAACCAGCTCAAGGAATGCAGTCATATTCTTCCATTACAGTACCATGTGCAGTGCTGTTTCACAGTCAATGAAACTCTACTCTGTAGAATAAGGGCAGGATTTTATCTTTCGTTGGCCAACTTGCACACGTTTTATGATACCTCAGTTTYGTAATGACATCATTTCTAAGTCACTTTTTCAGATCAGCTGGTTTGTGATACACCTTTGTTCTACAGTTCCTAACACATTTTTATTCAGGCTTTAGTCCAACCAAATCTCTGGTTTATCATAAATACTGTGTCCTTATTGGTTATGTTACTCTTAGTCTATCATCGATAATAGTGAGATAAACAAATAGGAACAATGTGTCATTTGGCTCATACTTTGCTGAATTTCTGGGAAAATCTCCTAAAGATGCATTTACTGACTGTCGGTCAGCTCTGTTTTCTTTTCTTGGATTTTGTCCCATCAGTTACTGGCTTCATTGTGACTTCAGGTCTGTGAAGTATTATTTATCAGTATACAGCCAGTCATTTTTTTGTAGTTTAAAAATAAACAACCATTTGGAGAAAATAGAGAAATAATAACACTTAAGTAAGAAGGAGATGTAAAACCAAACCCCTTTTTCAAGATATCCTTTGCTTGTCGCACACAAAGGTTTCCTTGTGAGGCTAGGTGCATAATCCTAACTGATTTGTGGCAGGAGAAAAGAATAAATAAAATTGAGCACAATGCCTTGTACTGAAACCTCTGTCTGTAACAAGCAAAGCACATCTTAGAAGTGGGCAATGCATGTCTTATTTTGTTGTTCACCTTAGTATTTCTATAAACCAGGTTGATGGGTTATTGAAATTTTTTATGCATTTGAAAACAAAAGATGTTTAGAGTGAAGGACACCTTAGTTTAGATAATTAGATTTCTGGTTTACTCTGTAAAAAATACAATTGGTTTTGCTTCCCTCCAAGAAGTATTTATACAGGATCATGTCAAATTAAAAGCTTATGAAAAGAGTATCAAAACATCAAGTAGCTTCAAGATACCTGAAGGTGTTATTAATGACAATGTAAAGTAGAATTTTGAGTGTTATTATGGTGACTTTTTTAACCGTATTTGTATTATATAAATAATACAGGGTATTACTTGGCCTTACAGTGATACTGTTTTTATCTTTGAGTGTATGACCATTTTGTGCTATATAAATAAAAAAAAAGCATCATAGTTGCTTTTCTCTTGGATTGATGTTTGTGCCACAATGCAAGAGCCATTGCCTGAAAGAATTATTGCCTTTGTAAAGAGGATATCTTCGCATCAACAACACCTTTGTACCTACAGCAGCAATTTAAGTTTAATCACACTTTGCTCCCCAGCTTGATTAGCTTTTTAGCTATTCTGGGAATCAAATTACCCTCTATTTAGTACTCTAACCTTGTAACTCCTTATCTTTATTTATCTGATGGTAATAAATTCTGATTACTGTTCTGATTACTGGTGTTATAGTCTGTCATGTTATTTGTGCAGCACAAAAAAGCCATTGGATGCTTGTAACACCTGAAAAATTTGTGGATATTTTCTAAGAGTAGGAAGACCAGCCAGACCAGGCTGACCCTCGCTGTAGTCTCTGACAAGGAGCTTAGGAGTTTTAAAAATGTTATCCACATTAATTTGGAATATTAAGGTGTGTGATTACAGCCTTTTCATTCATGTTGGCATAGTTACACTATTTTGTTGACATCCAACCTAACTCATTGATATTATCAAGGGATATATATGAGTTCACAACATCAATAACTTTAGTTTTGCCTTCATTTTTTTTTTTTTTTTTCACCAGGAGATCCTTAGATCCTATTCTTAAGACTATCATCTCAAATTTCATTTTTTTAAAATACATTATTGATGAGTACCCATTGTTTAAGGTGCTGCTTGCTTCCTGCCTCTACCAGGAATTTGCCAGACTTAAGTAAAGCTTTCTTGTGGTAGTTTCGTAATGTCTGTGCTCTAATGGAATATTCCCTTGTTGTCTGGCCGGAGCAATTCAGATTTCCCACACCCTGCAGATATGGATCTTGATCATCAATGTTGATAAAAATATTAATGAAGTCAACTAAATTTTTACAATCAAAATGTATTTACCATATACCCATATATATAGGGCCATAAGGGAGAGTACAGTTTTCTGTAATTACGGTTCCCTCTTTAAATAAAGTATTACTACCCTGTTGCTTAATAGATTTCTCCTAAAAAAATCCACTTTTGTTATGTCTATCTTGATTCAAAATATGAATCAAGTCTCGTTCTAAAAGCTAAAGGCAATTAAATTGTTGCAGCCAAAATGTATATTCCATATACACTGTTGGTTAGACTTCTCCTAAAATGGTTCATTTTTGTTTTGTCTATCTTGATTTTAAATGCGAATCCAGGCTAATATAATTTTACATGTTTTAAAACCTGTTCTTTGTGTTGTAAACCATGTGGTTTTGATAGTTGTCTAGCCTTAAACAAAGGAATACRACGTCACCATTGTCTATACTTTGATTTCATGTATATATTTATGCATACAAAACTGTTGTCTGCTCTGTCATTGATGTTATTACTTAGTATAGCAATCAACATTTGAAGCTAGTTTTGAAAATTAAAATTCAAGCCATCTTTAATATTTTGGTAATATTTTAAAATGTACCAAAGTACTTTTGGTGGTCAAACCCTGACTACCATGTGCTGTCTACCAGAAAAAATACTATTAAAAACTTGTAATTTAGCATAAACATTCTGTACRAGACAGGCAATGATGTTAGCATCAGCATCAGAAGCAACATACGCAGACTCAGTAGCACACTGCTCATTAACAGAGCTTGTCTTTTTTAACACCTAGGTTATTAAAGAGTTATTAATTGAGTCTGTGTGTGTGTTGATTTTGATTCTGACACTTGTGCAAACCAGGCTTTAATCTTTACCAACCATTTGTTTTATTGTTTCAGAATTTCTAAAGAACCTGTGCAAAGAGAGTAAAGTTGTTGCTGTGCAACAACTTCTAGCTCATCTACCCCTGCTGGCACCAGGGAACGACGAGGCACGCTATGAATACCTCCAATTATTACCAAAAATCTTGACGCATTCAGTCCAAAACTCTGTCCACCAAGATGAGTGTATGCAACTGTTATCCTTAGCTCTTGTCCATCCTGCTTTTCCACCGGAAGAGAGAAACTCTTTACTGTGCTGGCTCAGTCACTTGGAAAAGGCGCTGGGGATCAAGGAAAGACAAAACTCTGGGCCACCCAGGCTGCAAACAACCGACAGCACAGAACATGAAAAGAACTTGGTGCGACATAATTACATGCAAGGGAGGATGAATGGGTGGAGAAATCAGCAGCTGGTCCACAGGGATTCTGGGATTGGAACTTCATTTGATCAGTCCACGTTTGGGAGTTATGGTAGTATGGGGTCATCTCTCTCGTCGATGATGAAGAAAAGCAGGTCAAACTCCCTCACCCCTCCCCCGCCAGTCGAGGAACAAGATTCAGTGCTGGTGGAAGACTTTCCTGAATGTCTTCAGGTTGAGACCCGTCCGGGCAGGTCCCAGTCGTTTCCAGTGGATCCTCAAAATTTTAATCACCAGCTGTCCCCCCAGTCATCCACTGAAAGTGAACAAGATGACCCCAATATAAGACTGAGAGGAACTAGTTTCAATGAGGAAGCAAAGCCAGGAATGAGGGGTATGTTTGTATTAATTTGTACCAGTAATTCACTCACTTCTCACCTCTGGGGTCTCGAGTTCGATTCCTGGATTCTGCATCACACACAAGTGGAGTTTTTCCAAGTCTCTTACCTCTGGGGTCTCTGGTGGGATTCTTGGACTCAATATCACATATGAGCAGACATTGTTAGGTCTCTCTCTCCCTTGAGTCAAGAGTTTTTTTTTTATGGTACCCTGTTTTATCAGAGAACAGAACAGAGCTAAGCCTTTTCTATTTGTTAAACATAAACTTAATACCCAAAAGGTCTACCTCAAGTAAATTCATAAAACGTATAGTAATTTTTTACTAACACGGGTTATTTTATGTTGATAGATGTACCAGGATGGCTAAAGACTTTAAGACTTCACAAGTATGGAAGTTTGTTCTCTCAGCTGTCTTACGAAGAAATGCTGGATTTAGACGAGAATCATTTAGAAGCTAAAGGAGTCACCAAAGGAGCAAGAAACAAAATACTGCTGAGTATTAAAAAACTAAAAGAAAGATGTGAAACACTCCAAAAACTAGAAAAGGTAAATAACACCCAGACCAGACCTGCGTGTCCTCTGGCCTGCAGCAAAGAACAAGGGCTCTGGCATAATCCATTTTTGGGCTTATGCTCAATTTTGCTAAAGCGAAATATAATCAGTAAAAATCATGCTTTTAAACAGAGTTCTGTTGTTTAATTCCATTAAAAATAAATGTTTATTGAATAAATCCGAAACTTTTTTTTGAAATTTTGGCAAATTGTCGAATGTATGCGCTGTTATACCTGAAGTCCAAGTAAAGAAATCCTGATGTCCAAAAATGAATTATGACAGAGCCCTTGTTCTTTACTACGGGCCAGAAGAAATGCATGCTCTAGGTATGAGATTGGTGTCTGTTATCTTATTAAAGATAAATTGCATCATCACGACGTCAAAGTAGTGAAATAGTATGTCCCATGCTTTCCTCTACCAAGTATTTGACTTCCTTTCACACTGAAAGAAACGCAGCTATGTATATTTCACTTATGCACTTGTGTATATTTCAATCTTATAATTATGACCTTGACACTGTTCCTGATAATTGTTTTAACTTTACTTAAATATAAAATTTATGAGTTCTATTTCTTACTTTAACAGGAAGTACTTCAAACTGGCAAACTACAGAATGTGTTAACAGAGTTACGGAATATTGTAAATACTCCAATAAAACCTTTCAACCCACCTCCTGGGATACCAACAACTATGGCTGGCGGCTCTGATGTGGCTGGAGCAGTGATAGACCAACAAGGGGCTACTGTGAACCTCCCACTACACCCAGAAGATCTGCCGGCATGGATTACTAGAGTAATGGGGAAAGGTAAGAGTGTACAGCTTCTGAAATATCATATTTTTATTGAGACAAAAATATATATATATTCCTAACCAATATTTAAGTATGGTCATTCATTATGGTTTAATCTACAGCTTGAATTATCTGAATTTTATGAAACCCTGTTTTTTTCCAATATTTCCTTTTAAAATTATCGTTGTTTGTTTTCTTCCAGCATGCACACAAATCATAGTGTCAAGAGCTGATGAAGAGTATTGTACACTTTATCTCCAGCTTCTTGAAAGAACACTTAATTGTGAGGTATGTGACCAGAGTTCAGATAACAGTAGTTTAGGAATTAAGATGTGAAAGATGTTGAAGAACAGACAGTTAGGCTCAGGTCAAGCATAAAACTTGACGTGAGCGGAAACTAATGGAAACAATGGATAACAAGGTGTTCCTTGATGTCATTAGGTTCGGCACAAGAAGTTTGACATTTGAATTGAGCCTAAGCTGACCTTACATATTATATAAACTTTTGGTTTTCATATGACATATTTATTATTAAGTTAGCAGACTGTCGTCATCATCCCATTATGCTTAATTAATTAACTCAATTAATTGATAATTTTTTAAATAAACTGCCAACCACAGTAAAGTATAGGGCTAAGGTTAACACCCCCCTCCCCTCCCCCCCCCCGCGGCATTACCCATTACCACCTTGCACAGACAGACAGACAGGAAGTTAGGGTTGGACTTTCAGAGACTTACCTTAACATCAATCTTGTTATTGTAGGCATTTACTCCAACGCAAAAGCGACGTCTTCAGTCCTGGAAACAACAGTGTCAGAAACTTGCAAGACAACAGCAATTTGCACGAAGACCGAGTTCACAAGAAAAATCAAAGGGGTATGGAAAATAGAAAAATAAAATCTCATACTGACATCCTTCCAACACCTTACAAAGCATGCCCTGACATGTTCCTTGGTACCCTTAATCAATCATTCAATCCATCAAGTTTTTTACAGAAAATAACACTTGACAGTAATTCAACTGATCAACCCCTGAACCTCTTTTAAATACCTCTAGTTGATTAGAGATGGGAATAAGATTAGCGTGGTCATCTTAGCCACATACTGGGCTAAACAGTTGCAGATGTTAATACAAAGGGTAGTACCTTCTCAGTTATTTTAAGACCAATAGTGTTGTGGTGACCAGGACTCAAACCATGACCTCCTACACGACCAACGCTCTTACCAACTGAGCATACCACCCAATAGGCAATATCTTACCAGCCATTTACTGATGCACTGTTATCTTGCTTCAGTTGGTATTACCCATATCTATCCAATCCACCTATTGATCACAACAGTCTTTGCCCTCCTGCTGGCCCAGGGGGTATGCCTAAGCGTCAGCGAGGTTCTCCACGTACTCTAAATAAAGGCACTCCTGCTGGACAGTTGAGAAGTAACAGTACAGAAACACAACCAAGCAGTGGAAAGGCAAGACTGGTAAGATCTTCTCGTTAAACAGTCACTATTTTAATGTTGGTAGTTACTTCAGTTAAAGCTCTCCAATATGTAGCTCTATGGTCTACTGAGGTCAACTGAATTCAGTACTAATTTGTGCATATTTGTGCATTTCTTACGAAGTTTATCACAGACATTACTCAGTTTTGCAATATCATAATACTTGATGCTTTGATGTTACCAAATATGCCTTACTCTTTCTTGCAGGTAAGGTCACATGCCATTATCGGCAGAACCAAATCATTACCAGTCCGACATACTGTCTCTCAAAGTTCACTACAACAGCAAAGTAAGTCAGTTTTATGCAAGCACTGGACTTGTCCAAAGTTTGTTCTCTTGAGGATAAGATTCTTTGTTTGAGTTGCATCCATATTCATGTGTCTTCCTATGTGCAACTGTCAAACAAAGAAATAATACTCTAGGGAATGACACTTGGTCTGATATGAGAAAAAAGTGGATTAGGTCTATTCAGGATGATTACATAGGTGGAAGTGTGTGTTTTTGGGGGGGGGGGGGGGGGGGAGATTTTACCATCTACGTCGTTCTTGCTTTGCTTGTCACTCACAAACGTTTTAGTACGAGGCTACATGCGAAATTAAATTTATTCTTTTCTCCATTCACGAATCACTGAGCATTATGCACAAAGCCTCGCATTGAAAACTTTGTGCATGACAAGCAAAGCATATTTTGGAAGTGCACTATTGGTAGGTCTGCCCTTTGAGGGATTTGAAGTTCCAACCAAATCTTTGTTTTCTGATCTTTCCATAATCATTGCATAACAGATTCGGCAGATATTGAAGGTATTGACAACAGTCTGGAGTCACTGGCTATAAGAGTGTCAGAACAAGCCCTTTCAGGTAATTGTTTTTTAATCGATGGGGCACGCTGACATCAGTTGAGTAGCATGCACTACTGTATGTAATGCAGATTTCAGAAAAAAATATTTGAATTTTGCTCAATTAACTAAGATTTCGTTATGCTTTTGCTATGTCATAAAAGCATTTGTCACCAATTAGCGTGCTTCCATCAAGTTTTTGTTACACTWGGCTGGTTGCTTAAGCACTCAAGAAGCTAGACTTTTTTCTTTCGTGCTTAGCGACCTCCAGCGGCACCCAAAACTAGATGGAAGCACGCTAATTGAAGAACAATCCTTTTTTTAAATTCTTCTTGTCATTCTTCTCTTCTCTTCTTCTTGTCTTTTTTTTTTTAATACTGCCTGATTGATTTTCCTTCAGATAATCCTGGTGATGAAGCCTGATCAAGATCTGTCCAAGATATATCCCTGTACGTGTGTTTAAGGTGCAACCAAGTTGCTGTTTCATTAAATAACATAGCAATGTATAAAGCTGCTTTTACAGAAGTCTTTCAAATCCAAAGAGGTTTCTAGCAGGAGAACAGTGTACATTGAAGTCCGTCGTCAACATACCATCTGTATCACCACACTCACCAAGTACTCCTCTGGCTGGACTATCGAGTTCTAAAATCTCTGTTTGACCATTCTGGATGCAAGGATAATGTAACATAACTGGTAAAACCTGTTAATTGGTATTAATTTAAAGTTACAAACTATATAGTCACACTTCTCCCCTTCCTACCCCCCACACAATCCGATAATTCTCATGGATGCTTATTACTCTGCGACCATGTCGAGTGACTTGGTTTCTTGGCAGGAGGTGCAAGAGGTGTGACCATCATAACTTACTTGCTAGCTTCGTACCTTCGTATATGAACCCATTGGGTCTTGTCGTTCATAAGACACCTTCATTGAACCCAAACTGGTGTTTTTGAATTTGTAACTTAGTTAACTGTTCTTACTAGAATGTGTAGTTCCAGAAAATATCTATACCAACACCACAGAGGGACTTAGTGAAAAGACCCCATAACTACAGCAACTTCAAATTTTCTTCCATACAAACTCTGTTATTTTGTTCTTTCTCTAACCCCCTCCCCTCCAGGGTCTCCAATTTCCTCTGTGGGTGGGGGTACGGATATTTTCTGACCCTATATAATACAATATATATTGGTGGCATAGAGTGATCCGATTGAACCAGTAAAATATAATCTACTTGGCCTGTGAAAAAAATAATATTCATAGCAGTAGGAAACCAGTAGTAGACAGTAATTTCATCGTTTTCTCTTGTTTTACTTGGACTGTTAGTCATTAATTATACCAATTTCTTTCACAGGGCAAGTAAAATCACTCTAGACATTTTCTTAAAGCCAACAGAAAACAACCGAATCGATATCTAATATCTAGTATATATTGAGAGTGATTGTGTAGTTCCAAAAATTATCCGTACCCCCTCATGGAGGAATTTTTTTAAGACACCCCCCTACCCCCAGTAAATTCCAATTTTCTTCCATACAAACTCTGTAATTTTTGTTCTTTATCTGACTCCCCTACTCTTCGAAATTCCAAATTCCTCTGTGGGGTGGGGTGCGTATGGATGATTTTTGGAACTACACATTTTACTAAACCTGTGAAACAAATAACTTAACTTTAACTTCAAGTATACCAAAAGAAAAGAATGGAAATGAGACCTAAAAACCTATATTAGTTTACAACCTATTTCACGGATCAAACAGAACTAGATTAGATCTATGAACGTCTATTTGTCTACTTAAACTATTTCACATTTTAAGTAAAACCACTCTATGAAACCAAAACTAGATTTTCTTGAAGTAGATTTTACATATTGGATAAACATTACCCTCTGGCCTGTGTAGTGTGYAGTGCAGAAGCATTCTAATTGCCTAAGCATGTCTCTGCTTTTTGATTGGTTAAGACAAGAAGTCATTTGAGAGCAACAATATCCTGAATGTCTTTCATACAAGAAACACTGTTTTATCTAGTACTAAAAGACAATATCCACATCTTATTCTGTTTATATTTTAATGAAAGATTCTTATAACTAGTTTGAATGTTTCATGCGATAAACATACACCAGCTCCAGTATCATGCTTCGATTATACGAAAAATGTATCAATCGACTGATATATTGCATTTATATCACGGCAAATTGAAGTATAGTTTACACGTCTATTGTCCGAAGACTTTTGATTTTTTAATATTTCATAAGTTTGAAAATCTTTTTTTTTTCCATTGCGTTAGCCGTTAATCTTATGAGTAGTATTTAAAGACAATGTTTGAGGCGATCCAGTGCGTTTAGGAGTTAATTTTGAACTAAATTTATATAAAGATATTTTACGTAAGGAATATCCAACTTTCTAGGTTTTATTTGCTGCTGTACCCGGAGTAGATTATTGATAATCAAGACCATATCCACCATTTGGACGACAATGTTCCAGTTTTAAAGAGTGGTCCATTTTTCTCATTTTTTTCTCCTGAGCATCTAATGGTGGATAAGACCTTGATAATGCAAGTAAAGCTGAAGAATCGTTTTATAATGATTTCACTTGGAAAAAACTAGAAGTTACTATAAGTGGGGAAAAAAAAAAAAAAAACAAAGCTAGAATTTCTCTATCCATTTTTCTAGGTGATAATTAGTGATAAAAATGATCTTTTTTCTGGACGAAAATAGGTTTCGTTTGTCCATTTCATACGTGTTGAATGCCAGTTGCACAGTACATGCATAGGCAATTTTGTGAGATAGTGAACATGATGCATGATGGTCTAGCTTGGGTATGAATGCCTTGTGTTAATGCTAAAGCTAGTCCACAATACACTCTGCTCGCAAATCAGAAAGAGCCTTTGTCCACATGTACACAAACTGGCAATAGCTTTTATTGAAAGTCATAAGCCGTCTTATTTATAGATAAAGTATATTTACCAATGAAATCATTATAGAATAAGATAAATTAACACGYATTTCATTTGCACTGATCACACATGACTTCAGTGGCAGTACAATTGGAATGGTTTTCAAGTATTGTATATCCAGGTTAGATGATGGTTTGTCGTGCTTTAATCGTTAGCTACAAATAATGATAATATTCACAAGTTGTTGCACTCTCTTCACGTAGACCATCATTTTATTTAGTTAAAACAAAAAAGAAATATTTTGTAGGATCTTGTATGAGTTCAAGGTTAATGTTACATACGGTAATAATTCCATRGTAAAACGACCATTGCATTTGATGCTCACCCCAGACCTGTTGCTTACTGAAGAGCTCACATAACGAAAAAGTCTTCAAAGTCCAGTGTTATTTTTTTACTTTTTTTCTCAAACTTTTCTCACTCTGTCCATCTTAAGTTACTTTTTTACGCAAAAAAAACCTTTAATTTCATTTTTATAAGCGACCCCTGTAAGGTTTCGCCAAATTCTTTCAAATACAATGGTCAAAGAACRTTTTCGTAGAGTTTAAAAATGCAAAAATATAGATGAGAAAAACTTTATTTATGCCAGGAAAATCTCCTGTGATCTTGACTTTGTAATATATCTGCGTCTTCAAAGACTGCATTAGATGTTGTTGTTATATATTGCAAGTGCACGCATAGCTGTGCCCATGCAGGAAAGTATACTGATAAAACCATAACGAAAATCCTGAATAAAAGGATTAAAATGAATGAGTAGTAATTCTAGTTTGTCACTTCTAATCCCTTTTTTATTACAATATAATTCGGGGAGAATTTTCAACTTGCGCAATTGGGTTATCTTTTTTTTTCTTCTTTATTCTTAATGAAAGTTTACGAATTCTCGACTTTCACATCCCCATAATCCTTTGCGTCTTTGGGGGGTAACCAGAGGGTAAAAACCCACATTTTGCTGAAGGCTGACCAGACAATGTTGAAAATACCTTGTTTGGTATCCAAAGATAAAATGAAGAAGTAAAAAACAGAAAAAGATA